ACATACGATGCGGCGAAGCATTTCAATACAATACACTGGTAGATTAGATCTAACTGTTCTTACATTTATAGGCGACCACAGCGTGCCTTGTGTTTGACAAACATTAAAATAGAATTAAATTATTAAATGTCAATAAATAAGTAATGATATTAACAATATACGTAAATAATGCAAATTGTGATTAAATTATTTTAAATTATAAATAAATATAATGTAATGGTAATATACTCCCATGTTGGTACTGTATTTATTTTGTCACAATTTTGTTTAAACATTTTCCTCTTTGCCGCATGGTCCCGGCATAGAATGGGCCACCCTTTCTTTTCCAGTGAATGTCGTAAGAGGCGACTAAAGGAAGGTGACGGGTGGGCAGCAGCGTTCCACTTAAAACAGCTCCAAAGGCTAACTGCGATTACCAATCCGCCTGCCAAGCGTAGCAACTACTGGCAAAACTCTTCAAGGGGAAGATTTATGTCCAGCAGTAGATGGCTAAAGGCTGGCTGGTCTTCTTTGAATAAAAATTTTATCTAGATGTTATTGAAACATAAATTGGAAGTTTTCTAAGACTATTTATACAAAATTATAAACGCAGAAGCACTTTATAATTAGGGCCGGGCGGTGCTGCGTCCAGCGTCACCGGTGACGGGCCCGCAGCAGTCATCCGTCATGCAGCTATGTTTTAATTGTATTAACGTTCACGGCGCACCCATTTGATGCTCAATACGTGGTCAACATAATTAGTTGATTGCATTTAGCATTGAGATAAAAATCTCAATGGAATTAAACTTTTTGGATATTTTAAATGTGAAGGGAGTTTGGTGTTCATAATGATACACTCAAATCAAATTTTTTACATCTATTTACAGTATTTTGTTTATTGTGAACACCTATTGTAATATAAAAGTAGGTATTTATTTTATATATAAATAAATAAATGACAAAATACGCACAGTTTTGTTAAATTTTGTTTTCTACTGAATTTGTCTGTAATTTAATCATAAAATTAATAGGGGATCAATATTTAAGTAAAATCAACTTAAAAATAATTATAAATTAAAAATTACCGAAGATATAGTGTAACAGACGGGTTTACCAGAGAGAGACTTTGTACAAAAATTGTTTGCTTGGGCACCTCTCTCCCATTCGTGTTTCTACCGTGAAGTAGTTTGCATTTCAGTTTGAAGGTCGGGATATGGCAGTGAATTTATAGGGTACCGAGAAATAACACCCGAGTCCTCAAGAATGGCAACGCATGAGGAGTATCATGGGCGAAACAGTATACTCTGTTATGTCCATGCTACTGCACATGTCTATAGGCGATGATAACCACTTTCCATCAGGTGGGCCGTCAGCATGTTTGCCATTCAAAGTTGCATACACACAAATGATTAGCAGTTAAAAGCCGATTTAAAAAACTCACTGAAATCGGAACTAAAATTCAGGTTAGTAATTAACAAAATTCATTCATAAAAAAAAACAGCCAATAAACAAATTGCATCTCTTTCTAACATTGGTAAAAAATACATAATGAAGGAACAACCGAAGTCGTTTAAAGGCCACGACGGGGCGAAGACGCAGCCGGCGCGCCTGGCATGCGCCTGCGCCTGCGCCGACCGGAGCTATCTTTATTGCATCTTTAGACCAGTTGCGGGCGCACGATTCATTATAACTATTGTATATTCACACCTTGTATAATTACTTTTATTACTATATTTGTACACAAATCATATCTGTTTCTGTCAGTGTGTATGTGTAGTTCGTTTCAATAGAGCTTAATAAAAACGTAAATAAGTTCTGTTGTAATTATCACAGAAATAGAGAATAGAAGAAGCAATATGCTGAGCCACATTATACGACATGACGATTTTTTAAAGAGCATAGTAGAAGGAAAAATATAGGGTAAAAAACGAAGAGGAAGACCGAGGAATAACTACATGGGACAGATAAAAGAAACACTAGGTGTCATGTCGTATAGGGAGGTCAAGGATACGGCCTGGGATAGAGCCGGCTGGAAGAGAATGTATGAATTAATTGCACCGACAAGAGGAAAATAAGTAACAATTTTTTCCTTCATGCGTGTGCCAAATAAATTAATTACGTTAAAAATTAATTATCAATTATTAAATCGGATATGAGCGTTTTTAATTAAAAAGTGCATCATCAACGTTCACAGTTATTTATTGTAAACAATAAAATACTAAATGTAAGAAAAAAAAACTATAGACAATTATAATTTACCAGAGGTAGACTTTGTACAAAAGTCGATTGCTTGAATACCTCTGTCCCATTCGTGTTTCAACCGTTCAACAGTTGTGTTTGCATGGCTGTGTTTCGGTTTGAAGGGTGGGATATGGCGTGAATTTACTGGGTACAGAGAAATAACACCTGAGTCCTCAGGAATTGCAACGCATGGGGGGTAACATGGGCGAAATAGTATACTCTGTTATGTCCATAGTACTGCTCATGTCTATAGGCGACGGTTACCACTTTCCATCAGGTGGGCCGTCAGCTTGTTTGCCATTCTAAGTTGTATAAAAAAATCTATTATTAGATTATCTATCTATGAAAAAGTACCATAATAGGTTATTTAGTTTGTCTACTTAACACATAAGAAGAGTTCATAAAAGGTTCCTATTGTTTAGTAAAAAAAAGTTTATTTTTCTATTATGTGCTTTTTAACCAGTTAGCGAGTTGCCTCGTCTAAATCGTTCCACTTACATAATTAATTGGATGCTACGCAAATGCTTTAGAACTATCTAGATACATTTTCAAAAACAAATAAAGAGTGTGCAGTAAAATAAACAAAGTGCAGTGCAGATTGCGCGGGCGACGCGACGCGTGCCGCGTGACCCCGCAGCGCCGGACAGCGGTCGACAACATGTTTCCATTCTAATAGCCTAAAATACCGCCGCTGACTATTGAAGTTATAACTTTTTAATGAAACTTAGTTTAAATATAATACAATACACCCGGGTTGCCTGATCTCAATTGGCCGCAACCTAGGATTACTCCTGGTACATCCAATCCTGTGTTAGGTTGACTGGAAGAAATCTCTTTTAGAGATAAGTTCGCCTTTGCTAACATTGTTATTAACTTATAGTTGTTACTGTATGTTTTATTGCAATATATATATATATATATATATATATATATATATATATATATATATATATATATATATATATATATATATATATATATATATATATATATATATATAATATATATAAACAAATTTCGATGCACACGGCCACTTTCTCGTGATGGTGTCTCGGTTCAAAACGGAAACCCGCGGCACCGCCGTTTAGAGATAGGAGGTATATCGTTAGGTCGTTTAGTCGGTAGGAGTACCCACACGGTCCCGAAGCCGTGGTATGCATTTTTCCTCACGTAAAAAAAAGGGTTACTCCTAGTAACCTTAGGTAACGCAACCCATACTTTTTCTTTTTATAAGCAGCTCTATATTGCCGTATAGAAAAAAATCAATAAATTTATAGTTTGTAAATGTGTAGGTTTTATCAAAAAGAACCAATCCCCTACACAGCAACATTATCCAGAATAAAAATTTGAAGGCTGGCAACCCTTACTTGCGGCCATTTTTATAAGTAACCATATATAATCATGTAAAAAATAAACCTCCAATTTGGTTATAAATCTTATTAAAAAGCATTATGAATTTACCAAATCCACCACAATTATTATACATACATATATACTTCTCAAATGTTGACTGTAAGAGATCCCTTTATGGGATAAGTCCACCATTGTATATTAAATAATTTATCAGTGTTCAATGTGAATTATGTACAATAAAGATTTTACAATACGTAAATAATCAAATTAAAAAATACGTAATATATCTTAGGTAACCACGAAAAATTTATTTATTATATAATAAATGAAATTAATAAGTAAAATAATTCGAGTGAAACAGTTGCGTACCGCAGCATCGGAGCGCAGCTCAATTGCACCAGATTATCCAATAAAGAGCACTTTCTCCGCAGCTGTGACCCTGGGCCCCTGTCCAGGGATCAGTAAGGCGATACATCAGCTGTATTAAAGTGCATTAACACCTACCCACTCGTGTATTTGCTACTGACAAGCATAATTTAAAATGCATAAAATAAAAATTAATTAAATTAATTAAGTAAAGCAATATGCTTTACTTAATCGTACTTATTTGTATTAATAATATTATTATATGTTTTTTTTACTGCTTTCTTTACAATATATAACGAAACATTCAGAACTATGGGAGACTTTGTACAAAAGTGGATTGCTTGGGTACCTCTGTCAATTCGAGTTTCAACCGTGAAGCAGTTGTGTTTGCATGGCTGTGTTTCGGTTTGAAGGGTGGGATATGGCGTGAATTTACTGGGTACAGAGGAATAACACCTGAGTCCTTAGGAATGGCAACGCATGGGGGGTATCATGGGCGAAACAGTATACTCTGTTGTGTCCATGGTGCTGGTCGTGTCTGTAGGCGACGGTTACCACTTTTCATCAGGTGGACCGTCAGCTTGTTTGCCATTCTAAGTTGTATAAAAAAAAATCTAGAAAAAAAAAAAGAGAATGTCTCCTTCATTGTACAAAAGTCGTTTGTAGAGGTAACTACATCGTTTGTATTTCTGGAATGAAGCTACTATCACATGGCTGCGTTTCAGGTTGTACGGTGGAATATGGCAAAAAAAATTACAGGGCACGGAGAATGACAACACCTAAGAGGTACCATACGTACACAATACACTCTGGGATGTCTACGTTTCCGTTAGGTTGACCATCGTGCCGTTTGTTTACCATCCTAAGTATTATATAGAAAAAAAAACTTCAGAGGAAACGAAATTAAATAAAATGTTTTATTTATTCTACATCATCATTAACATTACAGCAATGATTTTTCCAATGCTGGTTGTACATATAATGCCTGAGGGTCGGTTTTGAATCACCAGTATTTTTTCACTCCTTGCAACATACTTGAGATCGTTGGTCCATTGCAGTCCAGTTATCAATATCACTGGACACTTGAAATTTGCAAGTTTCTTAAGCAATCAATAAAATTGAATAAAATAATGGAATGAATATTAATCAGCAAAATAACTATTTTTTATGTATATAAACAGCTGGAATAGGACTAGTATGTTGAGCACTTTTATCAATATACGATTCGATATCGCGCTCCGAAGTCAACACTTTCTTTGGCAAAATTATTGAAGGCGTCCTAATTCTCTTAACTTGACTAGTATACGTCTTTCTTACTGTTTTTGGATTTGCAGTCAGACGTTTTACTTCTTCGGTGTCACTATCACAGCAGAAATGTTTGTTACTATTAGGTGTCTTACAGCTGTAGTGATATTTTGAATCATTTCTGTGAGAAAATGGAATCTTATCTTCGGAGTCAATACAGTATTTGCTCATAACTGAAACTCTTCTATAGTCTTTCACCACATTCGTTGGAGAAGGCACACGGACTGGTTCTATTGGATAGTGATTAGCAATCGAGTCACTTATACCTTCATTGTACAAAACTTTTCTTGGGTTATGACAATGCTCGCAGTAAGGATGATCAATGATTGGTTCCCTTTCATAAGTTATCTTAGTTGGATTAGATTGATCACATTCATTGTAATCATTTCTCACGTATGTGTCTCTTTCAGCATCATCAAAATAGGTACCGTGGCAGTGTTTATAATCCTTATTAACTGGATCCAAGTATTCACAGTTCTTCAAAATAGGTATAGCAGATTTTGGAGGTGCATACACTTGCTGAATTTCAGCTCTTGTTTGTGTATCTCTGACTGCTATGTTAGAAGTTGTTATTGCTACATTAGACACTTTAGGAGAAGTAAGTGGTGTACAAACTCCACAGCATGCGTCATTCAGTTTTGGAGTCATAGTGTATTGATCACTAAATGTCATAATATTATCTTTGAATTTACTAGATCTTTTAGATGAATATACTTTGGAAGGGCAAGTTTTCATCGTGCAATTTTCACATCTGCAAATAATTTTTGGTCTATCATCCGTAGCTTCAATTTGAGATTCATCAGGCGTACTTACTTCCACATAAGGACTCCATCGAAGAGACTGTACCGTCGATGGATACGCCGGTATTGGGGATAACGCTGTGCTCTTTCCTAAAGACTTTAATCTAGGTGCGACAGTATGGGACGTTAATAAACAAAATGGGTCGGAATATGAATTAGATTGATAATAATATGAAGCAAATTCATTCGACAGATTTTTATCGGTCGACCCAATTATTTGGTTAATCAAGCGAGCCCTTGATTGCTCTGTAGTAATCATATCTGTATCTTTATAACTAAACGGAACTCTTCTATTTATATTTGTCCTACCATGCTCTTCAACTCCATACTTTATTGTACTGTATTTTCTACTTTTACTACTAGGATATTTAGCTTCTTTATTAGTCATAATGAATCTTTTAAATATTTTACGTGCAAATTTCTTTATGAAATCATCTTCTTTTTAAGCTGTAACCTACGCCTGCTTTCAATGTCACATTGACAACTAAAACTCTGAATGTAATAAAGGACATTTCAAAGAGGTTGAGACATTAAATTTATCAGGCTTGTTCTTAACAATGTAGATACAAATGTAAACAGCTGATGCAGCGGAAACACCTAGTTGATCGCGAACCACTTCAATTCATATCCTCGTGACAATACGGATTGAGTAACACATCTCCTTACAAACTTATATTTACCGTTGATAATCGACATTGGACCTACGTATTATTTGATGAAGATTTAAATTGGCCGCATCAATTACTTTGTAGGAGAAAAGGATAGACCACTCTAAGATGAACTCCCTCGGTCCCCACCTCAGATGTGCTGTCCGGATTATGAGGGGAGCAGGTTCAATTGAGCAAGTCTTATGTCATACGTTCGAAGACGGCAGATGCGTGCAATTGTCCGAGTCAAAGATCAGAGGAAGTGTGTGCGATGCGCGCCCGCAGCTGACCGGCGCGTGCGCACTGTTTACTGATTACCGCTCTACTGATTGGTTAATTGTTCGGTATTTAAAAGCAACGGTATTTGATTATGATTAGTTTATTGAACTTTCAGTTTTTCATGGAATTTAATAAGGAAACAGATTTTTTTTGTTTTGTCCGTGAAAATCACATAAGTACGAGTTTCCGACAGCGAAGGTTTAGTCTTTATTATTTTTATCCCTAAAATAAACTAATACGCCAGAAATAAGGGAACAAGGTGTAATATATCGGTCATTCATTTTCATTTAAGAGTTTCCTCTTGTCGGTGCAACTAATTCATGCATCTTCCTCCAGCCAGCTCTATCCCAGGCCATATCCTTTATCTCCCTATACGACATGACGTCTAGTATTTCCTTTATCTGTCCCATGTAGTTAATCTTCGGTCTTCCTCTTCCTCTTTTGCCCTCTATCTTTCCTTCTATTATACTCTTAAAAAAATCGTCATATCGTATAAGGTGGCCCAGCATTTTGCCTCTTCTATTCTTTATTACTTTAATCAATGTTCTCTTCTCGTTTACTTTTTTAGGTCTTCCCCGTTCGTTAGTTTTTCTATACAAATATATATCGGTACAAAAGAAAATCTGAAACTTATATATCTAACCGACTAGCCAGGGAGAAAGTCAAACTTCATGCTCATCGTTCTATCCTCCACCGGTGCCTTGCTATTGTATTCCATCATCTTAGATAAATGCACTATTCCATCTTTGACCGTCAAAAAGCTGCCTGGCCAATTGTACAACTTTCTCATCTATCTGCTCCTACCATATTGTAATATACTCATTGATTGATTTAGATTTTAAACCTACATCTACACTAATATTATAAAGAGGAAAGATTTGTATTTTTGTGTGTATGTATGTTTGTAATGAATAAACTCAAAAACTACTTTGCCGATTTCAAAAATTCTTTCACCATTAGAAAGCTGCATTCACTCTGAGTAACATAGGCTATATTTATTGGTAGAAAAGGTTAGGGATCCTTACTAAAATTTAGTAACGTAACTCAAGATCTAAAAATGCTATAAAATATCTTTCGTCGCGTGCGCTGCGGAAACTATCGGTGATAGAACAAAAGTATGTTCTACAATATTGAAGAAAATATCAATAACTACAAGAAACTTCCCGCCACTATATGTCCAACTATTATCGTTATGTCACAACAATCACTTTTTAAAATGTTGTAAAAATGTCCATCTGTGCGAAGCCAGGACGGGCCGCTGGTTTAAAATAAAAAAAAGAAATTTGTTACAATTACCAGAGGGAGACTTTGTACAAAAGTCGATTGCTTGAGCTCTGTCCCATTCGTGTTTCAACCGTGAAGCAGTTGTGTTTGCATAGCCGTGTTTCGGTTTAAAGGGTGGGATATGGCGTGAATTTACTGGGTACAGAGGAATAACACCTGAGTCCTCATGAATGGCAACGCATGGGGGGTATCATGGGCGAAACAGTATACTCTGTTATGTCCATGGTACTGCTCATGTCTATAGGCGACGGTTACCACTTTCCATCAGGTGGGCCGTCAGCTTGTTTGCCATTCTAAGTTGTATAAAAAAATATATATATATCTCCAATTACTAAATATAAGAATAAATAAAATATTGATTCAATTCTTTCCACCAAAAAATGCAACTAGCAATTTGACAAGTACAATAGTTAACAGTTATTGTTTATAACAAAACAATGCACGATTGTCGTCCGTGAGGGCGACTTTATTGGCAGACAATAAAAACTGGACAAGTTACCGTAAACAGTAAGCAGTGGGTACGTTGATTAGTGGCAAGGGTCACCAACTATAACCTAGCAAATTAGGACAAAGCATTTAATAATCTCGGATATTTTTTAGATTTTCAAACCCGTGCATTTTTTATTACAACTACACTGTGTTGTTTGTCATAATACTTTTAAATACGCATTCATGTACTGATTCATTACTTAATACTATTTATTTCATTTCTACCCAACCATATATACTCAACCAGGTCGACCTCCTCGCGGTTCTCCCTGGAAACTATCATGGTTAATTCCTGATGAATTCATCATGATAGGCTAACTGGCATGTTTTCATTCTCTTACGATATTTATTTATTTAATTCTTTATTGCACCATAAACAAAAATATACAATGACAAGTGAATAATTCAAGTGAACTACAGTAACATAAATACAGATTAAAATATACACATAAAGGTACAAAAGGCGATCTTATCGCTAGGGCGATCTCTTACAGACAACCTTTGGTTAAAAGAGAACAGATAAAAGTGGATAGGTGGCGCAAGAGTAAATTAATAATTTTTTGTGCATAAAATACAAAAACTTATAATGCACAAAAATATCGAATACATATAATTTATTAAACTACTTACATACTAACTATATATATATATACAAAATACATAAACATACACATATAAATACATACATAGCACACACAAGGAAATATGACAAATCTAGATGTTAAGAGTTTAAAAAGACAAATTTATTTTATCAATATGTACAAATAACTAAAAAAATCAGAAATAGATTCAAAATTTCAAACTCGAAATTTATTTTTAATTATGGAGGCATAACTATTTAAGTCTTCAGAAATGGCAACGCACGAATAGTAGTATGGGCATCTGTAGATGCTCGTCTTTTGGCGACGATTGCTCCTTTCACAAGATAGACCATCAGCTCGTTTGCTATCTCAAGTTGAATAAATATATAAATAAATGAACGCCCTTCGAAGGCACTTCAATCTTGTAACGAGGACAAATCCAACTATACTCGAACGTGTGGTAACCGTACCGGTGACAAACTCCAGTTAAACGCCATAAAAGTATAATTAACACGCGGTGGGTCGCAATTAAAATTACTTCTCGATCAACATACGAAGGCATAAAAAGTTTATGGCCAGTAAAAATAAGGGAATGTGTCTATTGTAGATAACTAACTGGTAGTTTCTATATCAATTATATAAAATGTCGTTAACGAGATGTTGATTATTTTGGAGTGTTTCTGATGTCGTTGTGATCGGGCCAGCGTCTCGTGAAATATGCTCCTTTCACACAGCGAGGAATAAGTGGAATAGAGTAGACATATTTAATCGGCTTTTAAATGGACAAGATTCATAATTTGTGAGTATTATATATATATATTTTATACAACTTAGAATGGTAAACAAGCTGACGACCCACCTGATGTAAAGTGGTAACCGTCGCCTATAGACATGAGCAGTGCCATGGACATAACAGAGTATACTGTTTCACCCATGATACCCTCCATGCGTTGCCATTCCTGAGGACTCAGGTGTTATTCCTCTGTACCCAGTAAATTCACGCCATATCCCACCCTTCCAACCGAAACACAGCCATGCAAATACAACTGCTTCACGGTTGAAACACGAATGGAATACTCGTATATAGTTTTATTATGCGATTGCCATGTAATCCCGGCGTAGAATTGGCCACCTCTTCCTTTCCCGTGGATGTCGTAAGAGACGACTAAGGGGGGACGATGGGCAGCAGCGTCTATCCTAAAACATCTCCGGAGCCCGGTTGCGGTTGCTAATCCGTTTACCAAACGTGGCAACTACTGGCAAAACCCTCCTAGGGGAAGGCTTGTGTTCAGCAGTGGGCAGTTAACGGCTGATCTTGTATATGGTAGACTTTGTACAAAAGTCGTTTGCTTGGGTACCTCTGTCTCATTCGTGTTTCTACCGTGAAGCAGTTGTGTTTGCATGGCTGTGTTTCGATTTGAAGGGTGGGATATGGTATGAATTTACAGGGTACAGAGGAATAACACCTGAGTCCTCAGAAATGGCAACGCATGGGGGGTATCATGGGCGAAACAGTATACTCTGTTATGTCCATGGTACTGATCATATCTGTAGGCGACGGTTACCACTTTCCATCAGGTGGGTCGTTAGCTTGTTTGCCATTCTAAGTTGTATAAAAAAAAAATGGTGTTATACGATTACGTTGCCAATTCTGAAATTATTTTAATATTTCTTTTGTTTTCTATTTATTTGCAAAATGTGATTGTTTCATCAGTGTTCAACTTCACGAGAACAGACTTTGATCGCAGTAAATTAACTGTTGCACTCTCAGTAATTCTTAATGCTTTTACGTGAATTTAGAAAGAAATTTAAACGGATTTAAAAAATCGGGTTTACAGAATTGAAATAGGATTCTTTACCGGTTAGGTGTCCATGTTTAACCATTTACCAGTGGAGGGAAGGCATTACCAGTCCCATTGCTAGCAATGTACCCTCCAGGTGGTTCCCCCCGGAAACCATCGTGCTAAATTCCAAATGTATGCATCACAATGGCCTAATGAACTTGCCTTTTAATCCTCACCTATCATCCCTCACTGGTGCCTCGTCAGCGTATACCGTTAGCGCAGGCGGTGTTACCATTTCATTATCATGCATTAAAAAAAAGTCGTTTACCATTAGCAAGTTTATTTTATTATTTGCCAGGTCATCACAGTAATGACATAAAAAAA